CTTCCATATCTTAGGACTATGTCCCTCAGATAAGATGAAACTGTTTAAGACGGGGTTGTCTCTTCATCTGACTCATCGGCGGATTCCGAGGATGGTTTATCAAGAGTACTTGATGATCTTCCGGGAGATGCTCCCGAGATGCAGAAAAAATATAATCTAATGACAAAAAGTTTATTAAAGGTGTATCGGATACTTGATAAATACTTCCTTCCAATTCTTTCTCTAGGATGAAAGTTAAATTGAATCCTAAGCTACGAAGGAAAGTCGGAACGGTTGATCCATTCGATCTCAATTCATATTTGACTGGTCGCAGTTGACTTAATTTTGGCTTATTTTGATCTCAAGTCAATAGAAAATATGTGACTGACGCAAAATACCAAATGCAACATCATTTTTGTTACATTGTGTCTTCCTAAGTCTAAAAGTTCTTACAACTTATTGGCAGCAGTTAAATGTAAATAATCAAAGAATATTTCGATTAAAATTTAAGGATACATTTATTTGACAATAAGTAGTTGCCTACTGATCTCTCGGGGGATCCTGTAAGCCCTAGAGAGCGCGTCCTTAGGTAGCGGCTAGGGAATACGTACTGATCTCTTGGGGGATCCTGTCACCCCTAGAGAGCGCGAGCCCAGGTGCCAGGTGGCGAATAAAGGAATGCCTCCGAAATATGGATGGTAAAAGGGAAATGAATTACCTTCCGCGGACCAACAGGAAAGCGGCGTCTGCCCAGAATGGGCGGTTGCAAACAGCGTCTGTTCCTCATGTTAGAGGCGGATGAAGTTCTCACTCACCAAGACGTCTTGCCAACAATGCCAACGTGGCGTTTCGTGGCAAACCCCCTCTCAAATGACAGAAAGGAAAGAGCACTCAGTCTCCAGCAGTTCGGTTAGCCCTGACCAAGGTAGCGGACAGACTAGCGACCGAATAGAGGGTGCTAAGAATCCCTGGAGTGGACAAGGCTGCCAATTATACACCGGAACATACATCGCAAAGACCTTGGAAAATGAAGAAATTTTAGAGAAACTAAATTATGAACTTGATGGAATAAATTGGGACATAGTATGTCCCATACTAAGGTCCCATACTATGTGGACATACTATATGTGTCTGGCAGAAGTCAGTATAAGAGGAGAAGAATGTCTAAGACTTGGGCAAGCCCAGATGGAAACACAAAAAACGAAATAGTCTTTATACTCACACAGGGGCGCCCGCAGAAAAATATGTAGGGGGGGTCAAAATCAATTGAATAAATTTTTTATGCGTTAAAAAGGGCACTTCAGTTTAAATAATCATCATAAATAAATATGTATATAAAAAAACTTAAAACATTCTTTCTATATAAAAAATCACCAATTCGGAGATACTTACAGGGTGACAATTTGGGAAGTAGCAATCGGCAATATATTTTAGACAAAAAATTCTTTCAGGAAGATCTCAAATACGTATTGAGGGATTGGAGGGGGAATCAAAATGAGGCACTTTTTGAGCCTCACCGCTTAGGGGGTAGCTACCCTAACTTATTTTTTTGTAATACAAAGGCAGGTTTGTATTACAAAAATACAAACCTGCCTTGTGTTGCACATCGTTCGATAGCTGGTTGCTTTCCCTTCACCGTATTATAGCAAAATCTTAAATCGTACGAACATTTTTGAAAAATACACCATTTCCAACAGTATTTTAGAACGCTTCAATTGTATTTTAGAATAGTCATTTGTATTTAAGAAATTTATTCCATTATTCATGGGGGATTTCTTAAATACAAATGAGCAAATGACTATTCCAAAATACAATTGAAGCTTTCTAAAATACTGTTGGACATGGTGAAGTAATTTTGACTATCTCTAAACAAAAAAATCTGCCATACAAGTCTTCGATACACATCGACCAAATAATGTGTATATTGTAATTCTATCTGCTTCTGCATGCGTCCAAAGAGGAATAAAACACCTTCCAAAGGAGGTATCACATGAGGTAGTTTCTCATTCTACACTATTTCAACCTCAATTTCGGAAAAACTAACTTTTATTTAGGAAAATGTAAATTCAAATTCGGAAAAAGTAAATTCAAATTCGGAAAAAATACATTCAATTACGGAGAAAATAATGTTATTTTTCATAAAATAGATATTTTGAATTGATTGAGTTCTTTATCTATTTAGAAAATCAAAAAAATTGTCCATATTTCTCAAAGAGACCCGATTTTTAAACCATAAAAGAAAGAAAAAAATTACCAAGTCTACATACATAGAGGATGACATTAAAAACGAAATAGAAGAATCAGATATTGAATTAATAGATACAAATAAAGGAAAAAGAACATACGAGTGACATCAATTTATCAAGACAAGATGTTATCAGGAAGTTTCAATGTTACACTTGCAATGCTACATTTAAAACCAAATCAAATTTGAAACATCATTTAATAACACATTTGGATATTTTTCCTTTCGAATGTAACACTTATAAAGCGGAAAAAAATGAGTTACAGCGTCACATATCAACACTCTTGGATATTTTTCCTTTTAAATGTGACACTGGTAAGAAAAAATTTAAAGGAAAAGGTGATTTGAACGCACACATATTAACACACTCGGATGAGAAGAATTTTGAATGCAACATTTGCAAAGCAAAATTTAAAAGAAAAGGCAGTTTGAAGAGACTCAAACTAACACACTTGGATGAGAAGAATTTTAAATGCAACATATGCAATGCAAAATTTAAAGAAAAATGAAAATTGGCAAAATTTAAACAAAAAGGTAATTTGAAAAGTCACATATCAACAGACTTCGATAGTTATCTTTTTGAATGTGACATTTGCAAAGCAAAATTCAAAGGAAAATACTGTTTGAAGAGACACAAACTAAGACATTCTGGTATTTATCCTTTTAAATGTGACACATGCAATGCAAAAGTTGAACACAAACGTAGTTTGAAAAGCCACATATTAACACACTCGGATGAGAAGAATTTTAAATGTAACATTTGAGAAGGCGATTTGAAGGAACACATATTGATACACTTGGATATTTAATTTTTTTGAATAGGACATTTGCAAATCAAAATTTAAACGAAAACGCGATTTGAAGATACACAAACTAACACATTCGGGTATTTATCCACTTGAATGTGACACTTGCAAGGCAAAATTTAAACAAAAAGGTAATTTACAAAGGCACATTTCAACACACTCGGATATTTATCCTTTTGAATGTGACACTTGCAAATCAAAATTTAAACGGAAAGCCGATTTAAAGATTCACAAACTAACACATTCGGATATTTATCCATTTGAATGTGACACTTCCAAAGCAAAATTTAAGCAAAAACATAATTTCAAAAGCCACATATTAACACACAGATTGTTTATTATTTGATTCACTTAATAGTGACATGTGTTTCGCTCTGGGATCCTTGAATTCGGCCACAAAATTCACCTGTTCCGGAATAAGGAAAAGGGTGACAATTTTACGATAGTTGGACTAGGCCCAATCGGTTATCGGGTAGGTGGATATTTTATGACCCATCGGCCATCAGTATCAATACGCAAATCGGTACACTGAGACATAGATATTAAATCAACTTATTTACTTCTTATAAATAGCTAAAATCTCAGGCATGGTGGAGGAAGATCCAAAACTTAGGCTTAAGCATTGAATATAGAAACAAAGATTCAGAAATCGGTAAATCGTTACATAATTGTTTCGGAATGATGTTTTTGGAAAATCAAGAAGTTAGCGATTTCTTTGTTTTTCTATTGTTAGCTATTCAGCCGAATCACGAAGTTCTAGTTAAATTTTCAGATTATCTCATCGACACATGGCACATGCCTCGATAGACCTGGATAAGACAACAAATGCCTGTGAATCTTTCCATAGTCATTTTGGTAGATCTCTTTATTTTGCGCATCAAAATACATATTTACACTTTTTTAGATTTATTTACTCATATGCAATGCGAAATCTGTCAACATCATAAGGTAAGTTTTATGGGCAGTAGGTTGGGTTTCATGATTTGGCCGAATTCAAAGGTATGATTACTGGAGCTACCTGGTTTGTGGCCGAATTCAAGTATGCCCGTTTCGCTCATACGAGCATCATCTGACCTACAAAATAATACATGTAGAAAAATTATTACGGGCGGCTAGACCCTCAGACAAACGGGGCGGGGGTTAGGCAATAAGCACATTTGGTTTCCTCTGTGTATTTGAGACTTTTATGACAGAATTCTTTTTAGTAAGAAATAGTCAAAATTAATAGTTTCCAAAAGTGCTTACTTTTAAACATTGATATCTCAAAAACTAATCGTACGATTTAGATTTTGCTATAAGACTGTAAAGGGAAATCAACGAGCTATCCAACGATGTGCAGCATAAGGTAGGTTAGTATTGAAAAAAAAAGTAATAAGTTATGGAAGCTACCCCCTAAGAGGGTTCCTCGTCCAATCCCTCAATTCCCCCGATACGTATTTGAGATCCTTATAATATTTTTTGTCTTAAGAGATATTCCCGATTGCTATTTTTCAAATTGTCACTCTATATTATGTACGTATATAGTGCGGTGGCATTGGTGGCTAGGGTACGTTGCGTTCCGTTTTCTTATTCCGATATACATTCACGTTTTCTATTTTAATGAAAATAAAGTCTCAAAATCGGTCCGCGATGATAGTTCAACTAATATCAGAAGTTTTAATATTTTTTATGCAAATTTAAGAGATTTCCAGGGGTTGTCGAGTGACCCCCCCTGACCCTCCCTGTGGGCGCCCTTGGACCTCCATTCTACTTTACTGGCGCATAGATAAGTGGTACCAGTTAACTGGCGCCAGTTAGTTTTCCGAGTTTTCACGCGCCAGAAAAGTTGCTCATACAAAATTCACTAAGTCACGACTAGAATACATTGGTTTGATTCTGCACCACGTGTTGTGAAATACTGCGTACAAAATCTTGTCACAGCATGTCCAGACTCCAGGTTCCGTTTGTGCGTTTTGTGTATAAAGTGTATCATGCGTCGTGCAGATAAAATAATGCAATTAGTGAAGGAAAATAATCGAAAAGGTGAGAATAATAGATTTAATTATTATTTTTAGCATTCCCAACTTCCAAGCTTAGTTTATTATTAAACGCTATAATGAAATAGTATATTCTTCAACGAGCATATAATGATTCCAACACTCGCCTTCGGCTCGTGTTTGAATTTTCATTCTCGTGAATAATATCCATTATATGCGAGTAGAAGACTATACTTTCTCTTCGAACCCTTTGAAAGAAAATCATAAGTTTTTGTAAGAAATAACAATCATCAAAAGTCTAAACCCGCCTTAATTTTTTCAAATTGAAATTTTCGTGATCTGACAGTAGATGTCAGTCACGTTTTGTTTGTATTAGCTCGTTGCGGCCCGTGTATTCCGAAAATACGGAGAATTTGATTGGTCGATAGGCCGTGGATTCCAATTATTATCCACGGGGCGTGTAGAATTCGTATCCTTAATCAGTTTAATATCGAGCAAGAATGAATGTATTATTTAATGTTCGAAGAGAAAATTATTAATGCCCTACATACCTACTTTTTCAGGTCATGATAAAATAAAAGTTCCTCAATGCGCTACTAGTTTTAACCTTTCTGTCGGAAATAATATCCCAAATAGGGAAAATGCGACCCTCAATCTAGAGCCAGATGGCTTCTCTATTGAAGAGATAACCGATAGCCTCTCTCAACATTCTTGTAAGTTTTACAATTTCAAATTCCATAACGACCTATAGGAAGTAATTTTTTCAGTTGTCATTGAAGCTGAGCTTCCGGGCTTAGCTGTGGAACAATCGCAGATAGTAGTAACTCAAACTAAAATTAGATCGGACGAGACTAATAAAACTTATACCTCACTTCGGCCTGTGTCGCTTTATCCAGATGCAGAAAAACTAGGAGGCAAGTATCACAGATAATAACAAGATGAAATGTAAACAGAATATCTAGTAACTTTTTTCCTATTCCGCTCAATTTTGTTGAGGTTATTTTAAACAAAATATTTATTTCATTTTCGATATTGTAATTTTTACAGGTGATCATTTAGATGTACGCCCTTCCACCAGTAACAGAGGTAGCCTTCACACTGATGACAGCAATGATGAAACTGGCCTAGAATGCTTTGATTCAAATGACTCGGTTGCAGACAAGGACTATGTACCTGACTCGGATACCAGTGATGACACAGCGACTAAGAGAAAATGGAAAGACGCACCTGTAAATCTTGAAATTATTGAAACCATAACAGATGAAATACAACAGAAATCCGATGAAGAGGGAGATACATCAAACGAATCAGAAGAAGTGCCTCCAAAAAAGAAAAGAACAAGATGGAATAAAGCAAAACCGGAGACATGGAAAAGAAACGTCGAAAAGAAAAAACGCAGTGAAGGACAACCCTACCTTAGTGCTCAAGGAAAACAACAAGCTCCAAAGGAACCAAAAATGGTTGACTGTAGTAAATGTAGACTCAAGTGCTCAGAAAACTTTCCTCAAGAAACTTTCTCTCACAAGACAACGAGATTTTTTATTGGAAAACATTACCGTCCAAGAAATCAAAACTCGAAGGCCCAGAAAAGAAAATGCCAAGCAAAGACATAATTCAAAAAAAAAATTTTTTTTTGATAAAAATGGCGTTAAAAAACAATTATGCCAAATTTTTTTCTGCAAAAAGCTTTCTATATCGAATAGCCCCATATTGTATGCTTGTGGAAATGAAGGAGACGGTGGTGAATATGATAAGCAGAAAGACAAAAGAGGTAAACATAGACCTGGAAGGTGCCGTTTTTGACATAGTGGCTATGACGGCAAATGCCGCGGGTGTAATTGAATGTGTCAATGTTTCCCTCATATTATTTAGTTTTTTCAAAAAAATACACAACATACTCTGGTCCCATTGATTTTTTTATGTGGGGCAAGAGTGTTGTCAACACTACAGGTAAATTTGTAGTACCTACTGCACACTTGTCTCGATTCAGAAATTTGGGGTTAATACGTACTACGGCAGTGAGGATGACCAAACTGTCTTGGGGCTTTGGATGGTAAGCATATTTAAATACAAGCTCCAGCACGAGGCTTGTTGTGATGCAAACTAAAATTTCACTGGTGTAGACACAGGTACTTATGAAAGTGAGTGTGATGATAGAGTCTCATCCAATTCTATATTTGGAAATATGTGTGATAGAAAAGAGATGCATGTTCCATCTGAAAATAAGCTACCAAAGAGTGATATAAAAATGCCCTATGCTTCGGTAGCTGATGAGGCTTTTCCTCTGAAGCCTTATTTGATGAGACCGTATCCAGGACGAAATTTGAACGACGCTAAACGAATTTTCAGTTATCGGCTTTCCAGGACACGAAGAACTATTGAGAATGAATGCATTTGCCATTTTAGTCAAATGGAGGCTATTGAAGACCACCATTATTGCCAATGTCGAAAATGTAGATCTTTTCATTAAAAGCAGATGTTTGTCTACACAATTATGTAAAAAAGGAATGTGAGGCGGTGAATGATCAATCATACATTCCAGATGGCTTTGTAGATAATGATTGCCAACGAGGAAAATGGCATGATGATATTAAGTCACTGAAGACCCCACAGATGTTCAGTTTTTTTTGCACAGGCTCACTGTGCAGGCCAATTTGCGCAAATTAATCTGTACCGGTGCCCCTTGTACACACGCACAGTTCTTTAGTCACATGAGTACGAACGCAGTTCAAGAATATTTCTGTTTTACAGTGAAAATGCAGGCCAAATTTCAAACAGATCTTAAGGAGGGTGTGACCCCAAAGAACGACTTAAGATTAAGCTACTTAAATCAAGAAAAAATTCTAAGATCTCTCGTGAAAACCGAAGTCCTATGTTCAAAATAGTCTCCGAGAAAATTCCTTATGAATATAAATTATGCAGGAACATGTGATGTCACAACCGCCGAAATCTCAGTCTTCTGTTCGTTCAGTCGTCGGTGAACCATACTTCATGCTTTGAATGGTTGCAATTCGCTCTAGGAGATAATTGTCTTTTGTTTTGTAAAATTCTTACATCTGTTAATACTGTCCCTCATAATCCAATGTGAGATCACAAACACCTAGTTGTAACTTTAAACCGCCCTAACTCGAAAACGGACCATCGTAGCAAGATGCGGTTTAAATAATTATTCTTAGATTTTTTTGTACTAAAACTTTCAATTTTGGGTCACACCCCCTTTAAATTTACTCAAGCCAGGCCAACGACCTGCACAGTCGGCCATATGTAAGTATCCTGAGCCAGTGCTCCGGAGTCCTTTGAATGCACAACAGAAACGAGTGTTTAACAGCGCCTAACAATTTATGCACAAAGAAAATGGCAGCTGGCAGATTTGGCAGCTGGCATTGCCATTGATATGTCCAATGTTAACACGTTTATAAACAAAATAACCTAACTTTTATGTTCATTTTTTTCGCGGTTTTTTATCTAGATATTATCTTGAGGCAACTTCCGTTGTAATACTAGATGCTACTCAAAAAATAAGCGGGGGGGGGGGGGGGGGGGGTCTTAAATCCATCAATAATAAAAAAGAAAGTAGGTAAAGGACTATTCAGTACCCTTTTCATTGATATGTGGAAAATGGATGATGAAAATATTTGCAAATATACAAGGATTACTCAGGACCAATTCAAAAAGTTTTTGGCATTAATTGCAAAAAACAAAAAGGACAAGAAAAGTGGGCCTATCTCTCCTGAGGAATGATTCTTATTAATTTACAGTAAGTAAGTCTTATTAATTTACAGTAAGCTTATTAATTTACAGTAAATTACGTTTTTTCTCTAATAAAAAAATATTATTTATTTTTATTTTGGTATCTCTCGGAAGGCTCCTCTATGCAGGAGATGGGTTCGAATATCAGAGTTGGCAAGGCAACCATACATACCATCATCAAAGAAACTATTGTCAAGTTCTATGGAAGAGGCTAAAACCGATTGTTTTATCCAACTCAACAAAACGTAGTTTTGAAACAATTGAAACTGGATTTTTTTAAACATGGTAATCTGGTATATAGTGTTTTTTTCAAATTATAGCTTAGTGTTATTGGCATCTTGTGATTCCTATTATCGGTTTTCCATGGTGGACATAGGTGGAGCAGAAGCCAATCACGATTCGACAGTTTTTAAAGCCAGTGGTTTAGGTCAAGGCCTTTTAAATGGAACTTTGGAAATTCCAGAGCCCGATACTTTACCAAAAACCAATGTAAAACTACCTCACTTTCTTGCCTTTCCACTGCATGAAAATATTTTAGGACCCCATTCTGGCTCCTTCATAAGTGAAAAACACAATATTTCTAATTAGGTACAGGTAAGAAAGTGATTATCTATGTATTTGAAATAATTTAATTATAGGCTCAGTCGAGGCAGAAGATGCATCGAAAGTGCATTTGGCATATTAGGGAAGATGGAGAATTTCAAGGAAGACAATTTAAAGTCAGTCTGGAATGTTTGAACTAGTCACTCAGGCGACAGTAGTACCTAGTTCACAATTATTTGTAAGCTAGTGAACAAGACTTGCTTGTTAGTGACAGGAAGTACTGCCCAACAGGATATGCAGATTTTGTAGACTCAAATGGGATCAGTCAAGAGGGTTTATGAAGATGGGGACGGTCTCCTTTGAAATCTGTCGAAAGATTGGCTTCAAACAATTATTCAAAAAATGCAAGAAATTGTAGACCTTTTGGCAGATTTTTTTGTATCAAAAGAATGTTGGGTTAGTTTAGCAAGAAGATTATGATAATAAAGGGGGGTACCAACAAGCTTTTAAATAGTGTAATCTTATGTATTGTGTATTGGTAATAGTTAAAATGTTCAGTTTATAATATTAATAAATAAATAAATAAATAAAAAGGTGTTTATTTCCAACAGGTAAGACCCAATTACAGGAATTTTGCCTAAAATACGCATGTACGAGAAAATAATACAATAAACAACTAAATCATTAATATACATAGTTATATAAATGTTGAAGATCGTGTTTGCAATCAGAGAGAAAGGACCCGCAAAAATATCACAAAGGTGAGAGTCACCATTGAAAACACTGCATATGAAGTGCATAGGACTCTTGTTCAACATATTGGTTCTAGCGGTCTGCGTGTGGAAGGTAGGCTGATATCTTCCCTCGACACGGGGAATATGTAATGTGATTTTGTTACGAAGGAGAATACAATCCACATTATTATGAAGGAGGTTGTACAAGAACATAGCAGCAAGAACCTTCCTTCTAATTGCCATGGGTGGCTCATCGTGTCGCGATAAAAGCAGATTATGAACGAAACCCCCGGAGGAATACGTACCATCCAACCTGTATGACAGATATTTAAGAAATCTTATATGACAGTTATACACAGAATTCCAGACTAAAAAAGCGTAATCGAACTTGGATCGAACAAAAGTGTAATAGAGAAGCTTGAAAGTAGATTGCTGGGGGAAATGTTTACTGTTTCGGACAGGGCCGTGCAAAGCACGCGCGGGCTCCAGTACAGCCATTTCGACGGGCCCCCCTAAAGGGACCCCAAACATTTTTGAGTGTCACGATTGCTCATATTTTTACTCAAAAGTCTTTAAAAAAGCACGCCTCTGGTATAATTTTTTTTAGGTATTTTTGAAGCGAAATCTCTTTGCTTTACGAAAATTCCGTTCGCGTAAGGGGAGTATGAACAGCGTAGGTATCAGCGACGATCGGAGGTGGAATACGCACACGCTTGTCGCTTGATTGAGAGAGATACATTCCATGATTGAAAATTCGAATTGAATTTAATCTCCAGTTGAATTCAAAATTGGTGTTTAATGATGGTTTATGAATGTAAGATCGGTTCTGCTCTAAAATTAAACGTTTAGGTTTCACAGCCTGTCAAAGTTGCAAAAAAGTAAGTTTCAGTTTCAACTGTCAATATTTCCAAAACAGTTGAACTTAGGTAAAAGGTATATCACATGAACTCTGCTCAGAATTTAAAGTTGTAGAAATACAATCCGAATATTCAATAATATACAGAGTATTCTGGGAGAGTTGGACCACGACCAAAGGTTCCTAAAGTTAATAGGTTGCCTGGTAATGGATAACTTGATGAATGCATCTGGGGTGCCTAATGGAGATTTGAATTATATTGAGACACCACACAGATGACGTCATAGAGTTATCAGGCAACCTACATACCCCAAACAACCTTGACCACGATCAGCTTTTCTGAAACACTCTATATAAGTACGCGAAAGTGAATTTTAGCAAAATAATAATTTTAACCATACAACTTTTATTTGAGACACTTCTTTCTAAAATATCGAATAAAAAAGGTATAGTGGGTGGTGGGTATCATTTATAACCAATAACCTGTACCATAGACCTAAGAACATTCTTGGCGGGCCGAACCCCTACGAAACCCGTGCCCCAGTAATTTATACCGGCCGCACCCCCCTATGCACGGCCCTGTTTTCGGGAAACGAAACCCAGCTTTTGAAATGATGTAGTACAAATATGCTCGATCTGTGGATACTATACTAGTTTGCAAAATCATAAAATCCTCAACAGAGGCTAATGGCAAAAAAAAAGCTTCAGGTCATCAGCATAAGCCAGCTTGTTACATGTAATTGCACCATTAAGGTCGTCAATATACACAGTGTGTAAAAAGTCCCGGAACAGTCAATTATTTCGAAACTGATGCACAATATAAAAAAAACTTCCTGTATAAAAGTTGAAGGTCTTAATAAAATCTATTGAAATAGGACTTTTGTAATTATACAAGGTGGCCCAAAAAGTTGTGCTACACAAAACTTCATTTTTTTTCAATGAAATGATCCTTTTTTAATACACAATAAGACGTTATTTTATTAAATGCTGAAAATGTCCTCCTCCCACAATTTGACAATGGGCTAGGTTATAATAAAATTTATTGATGACGTTTTGTAATATTTCTTAGTTAATAGATGCACATTCTTCAAT